TTTTTTCTTCCTGTCAGAGGCTGCCAAGTTCCTGGCTCAGAGCCAAACAAGATGAGATAGCAGCTTGACAAAGAGAAGCAGAAGGCATTTGATTCTCCCCAAGAGGTTTCCCAGCTCTGCAAATTGCTAATGAGCTTGCTTTTGTTGGGTGAAAGAGGTAAATGAAGGGCTCTGTTTGCATTTTGGTTGAGCAACTAACTTTGGAGAGCATTTTACAGTGGTGCCTCAACTTACGAACATCCACAGCCATTTCGAGTTACGAACAACTCCAGCCGCAAAATTTTGTTTCGACTTGCGGCCGGAACTTCCAGTTACGAACAGAAAAAAGGCAGGGAAAAAAGGCAGGAAATTCAAATTGCTAACTGTAGGTGGCGAAGAGGCTGCTTCTTTGTAGCTCTTTCGTCCCAGGAGTTAGAGAGTGTACAATCAGAGCAGGCTGCCTGGTAAGGTAAGGTGCTGTTTTCTGCTTTTAAAAATCTGTTCTGGGTGGGTTTTGCAAGGGTTATGCTTCTGTGCTGTGATGGGTCTTGTGGGGTTTCCTTGCTTTTTGGTGTTTTTCCCCCATTTCCGATGGGTCTTGGGGAGTTTGTTTGCTTTTTAGTTTTTTATTTATTTATTTATTTTATTTATTTGTTCAATTTATATCCCGCCCATCTGGCATATTCTACCACTCTGGGCGGATCATATCCCTTATATCCGATCTTGCACAATCTGCTTAATTGCTTTATTTTGTTTGCTTAATTGCTTTTTGCTCTGTTTTGCATTTGCAATGGGTCTTGCACACTTGATTGCTTTTCTCCCCCCCCCCTTTGGCTGGAAGGGATTAATCGCATTTCCCATGGGTCTTGCAGTGATTTATTTGTGTGTGTGCGTGTGTGTGATTTTTCCCCCCTTCGGTTGGAACGGTTAATTCCAATTCAGTGCATTCCTACAGGAAATGGTGCTTTGACTTATGACCATTTTGAGTTACAACCATCTTCCAGAACCAATTAAGTTCGTAAGTTGAGGCACCACTGTATCGCCTTCTAACTACTGTTGAAAAGACCATCTTCTCTTTATATTTTGTACGTTTGTGTCTCGAGTTCACCCACTTTAATTCCATAACAGCAACCCAGGCACCATTTTCATTTCATAACAACAAGCAAGTGAAGCAAAGAAGGGCAAGTTTTTTTAAAAAAAAACCTGCATAAAGAATCTCCCTCTCAGTGCCAAGCCCATTACCCAGTCAGGTCCAAGGGGCAAAAGCTTATGTTTTATCGTATACACCTTATTGGAAGCCCAGAGTGGTCGACCAGATGGGCGGGAAATAAATAAATAAATAAATATATAAATATATAAATAAATAAATAAATTTTAAAAAAGCAAAAAGCACTATTTTTTTCCCCAGTCCTCAACTTTTTATCTCTCTTGCCATTTTCCTTCTTTGTACAGGCAAAGAGGAAGAGTAGGCAGATGGTGAATTATAACTAAGCTTTTCATTTCCCATGGACCATGAAGAGAAAACCCTTGTCCCCAGTCAGGATCTCCCCATTTCCTTTGTTCGAGGATGGCACGGAATGGGAAACTCTAGAGCAGAGACTCCCAAAGACAAGACTGAGTCCACAATCCCGTGTGCTCTGTGGTAAAGGCAAGTCTGCCTTCAGAGTGAAAGCAGGGCAATGGAGAGAAAAGAATGCAGAAGCCTTATACCCTTCATCATTTGGTGTCTCATTCAGCATTTTTGTTTCCCACAACCAGCTCTCTGGAAACTCAGTCCTGGAGACAATGTCTTCATCAGGTGAATATTCATCCTCAAAGGCACCTGGGGAAATGGATGACAAACTAGGAGCCTATCTCACTAGCAAAACTCCTCTATTTCAAGTAGGTTTTGTATGTTTTAACTCAATTTAAATCTGAGTGGTTACACAACATATTTGCAAGCACGGAGTAATTTGACAGGGAATTATTTTTTCTCTATGGTGGCAATTTTTTTAACCTGTTTATTTTTTTGTGGATGTGGAATCAATTCATTGAAATCAATTCCACATGTGTGAATGACGCTCCTGCTGGATGGCTCTCAGTGCCATTTCTCCCCTGTTGTGGCGGTGGTATTTTCTTTAATTGTTGCAAATGAGTGCAGCAATATACTAGATAACAACAATTTTAAAAAGCTACAGAGTGTTGCCCCGATCAGCAGTTTTGCACAACCCCTCAGCTGGGAGGCAGACCCCTCTGCAATCCGTCTGACAATAGGCTAGCTGCTGGGCTGCTGGGAGGAGGAGGAGGAGGGATGGAGATGGGGCATCTGGGTGTCCCTGGGAAGAGGATGGAACTGCCCTCATTGCCCTTGTGTTGCCAGTTCCTCTACCATGGGATGCGGGTGCGGGGCTCCCAAGCAATGGGCAAACCAGCTGATGGGCACCTGGCCTCTGCTTAATGCCGGCTTCTTCCCAGGGGTTAGCCAGTTGTTGCAGCGATTGGAGGAAGCCACCTCCATATTGTGTGGTAAGAAGCTGTGGCTACTTACCACACAATATGATGCATTATAAAGGAAGCCCAGGGAGTGAGTCAAACACCATGTGACTATCATGTGACTATAATTCCTATAACACCTTATGTCACAGTTCTTGTGAAGTGTAAGCAGACCATAAACTGAAAATTAATTTACTACTGTGACGTGTCCTCAGAAGAGATTAGGAAAATGACACAAAGCTCAGCTTCTGGGACATTCTTCCTTATGGGAATAACAAATAGACTAAAGTTGATCATGATCAGGCATTCCAAAGCATGTTATGAAGAAAGAAGACAAACAAGCAAACAACAAACAGAGATCTACTTGCTTCTGGCCAAGATAAGTTCATCCTCCCGTCGATTTGCATCCCGTATGCCTTTGATGTAGCGGCAACATTCAAGGAAGGCAGCCCGGCACTCATTCTGATCCTCAATGTATTCTGCACGCTTTTCACAGGTGTGCCCCATGGGATTCTCATGCAAGCCATCTTCACAGCACTTTCTTAGCCTCTGATCCTGATATTGAGCCACTGAAATATCCAAGCCACATAAAATATCAGAAAATATCTGTCCCCTAAACTAGAATAGCAAGAGACAGAGGAGAACTGATACACAGGTAAAGGCTCTGTTGTTTAGCCTCTGTCCTAGCCAGCTCCAAAGAATATGCAAACGTTTCAACTTCATTTTTAACACATTGCCCTTACAGTCAACCCTTGACTTACGAACATTCCTAGATATGAACTTTTCGATTTACAAACGGCTCCGTTGCCAAAAATTGGCATTAACTTGCAAACGGAGCTCGACCTACAAATGAGGTCGAGGCTCCGTTTGCAAGTCAATGCCATTTTTTGCGAACGGAGTCGTTTGTAAATGGCTCCCTCCAAAAAGGCAGCGAGAAAGGGCTGTAAATTCCAATTTCCCGCCCTTTCTCCCTGCCTTTTTGGCTTCGGGGGTCTCAAAGGGCTTTCACCGATGTCAGTCCATCTGCAAAAATTGGCATTGACTTGCGAACAGAGCCTCGACCTACGAATGAAAAAAGGCAGGGGAAAAGGGCGGGAAATTCATATTTTCTGTCCTTTCCCCCTGCCTTTTTGCCTTCGGAAATGGCTTCCTCCGGTGTTGGGTGGAAACCCTTTGAGACCTCCAAAGTAAAAAAGGCAGAGAGAAAGGGCAGGGAATTCGAATTTCCAGCTTTCCCTTTCTGGCTGGCAGATACTCCAGTCTCTTAGGGAGAGGTCTTGCCCAGCAGTGTTTTTTCACCTCCTTTTAAAGAAGAGCCCCAAGATGTTCTATGCTCAGTCATGAAGGGACGACCCTCCCTCTTGCATACGGAGATGCTTAGCACTGAACCATAAGCAGACCTACCATGTATTTAGGCTCGTAATTGGCTAGCAGTGCTGCCAGCCTTGGAGATGGTGCTGTCCAGGACTGTACAGGCTGTTTCACTGAGCAATGTCCTCACATTAAGCTGCCTTATGTGCTGGCTCAGATAGCTGGTTGGTCTACTCCAGCTAGTATTACCTACTCGGATGCAGAGAAAAGTCCTTCCACAACCTTGCTAAGTGTCCACTTTTTGTCCAATCACATGTCCATTTCATAATCCTGTTACGCTTGATGTTACAAAAGTGCCTCGATCTTTTAGAGCAGCCATTTTCAACGGGGGCCCTATGTCCCTCTGGGGGACCTAGCACAGTCAAAGGGGGTCATGACTGATACGTGTGAGAAGGGTTTTTTTTATTTCATCTGCTTGTACTGTTGCCTTGTTTGGCAGGGGCCCCCGTGAGCTGAGAAGAACGCCTAAACAGGTCTTGGCCAAAAGCATGTTGAGAATGGCTGCTTCAGAGAACAGCAGTAGTTCCCAACTTTTCCAACTTCTGGCTTCCTTGAGCAGAGGCAGCAGAGTAGTAGTAGGAGCAAGAGGTGCAGGCAGAGCAGGAAGAAAAGAAGCACAAAAGAGCAGAGCTTGAAGCCCACAGAGCAGCAGCAGCAGCAGCAGCGCCAACTCCGCAAAGAAACAGAGATCAAATTCTGCTGTGCTGCCAGCTGGGCTTGACAGCACCCTGGGGCACTGAAGAGGCTGCAATGGGCCCCCTGCACACTTTTGGAACCCATGGAGTATAGGAACGTTTGATGCTTTTCACATACCTTTGCTTGCCTTCGACTCAATGAGTTGGACAGAGCGGCGACGTCTCCGCCTCGCAGCTTGGGGGCATTTGGCATCTGGGAATAACAAGAGAGGGAGGAACAAGGAATTAATACCAAGAGGAGGAACAAGAAGACTGCTCTATAGTCTGTCTCTAATTATATGTTTACTCAGAGATGAATGGGCCTTACTTCCATGGCAGTGAGAACAGGGCTATAGCCTTAACGTTTAAGGACGTACATGTCAGAGGCATACATACTAACACACACATGGACACGCTCACCATTTCTGTGCAAAACAGTGTACAGAGGAGGTAATGTGGGGCAACGAAGGAATTTATCAGTGACAGCACATGCTTAACCCAACACTGCTCCATTCCAATTCCTGATGCTTCTTTTCTTGAGAAATACCAATCTTCTGGGGTTTATTTGTGGCACATCTTTGTAAACCATGTTGTGATGTAACTGGGAGATGGATAAGGGCTGGACTCGATGATCTATTGGGTCCCTTCTAGGTCTGCAGTTCTAAGATTATGATGATGATGATGAGCATGTCATCACCAAGATCTTACATTGTCTGTTCAAGATCTTGGTATTAGAGGCAACAGACCAATAAGGGCTGGCTGTCAGGTGAAGGACACTTTTCATACCACAAATCCTCTGTCAGATCACAGAGGATCATCATACCTGATCTTAGTTTTGTGGAGAGCTTATTGCTGGTCTCCAGGGTGAGCCCAGCATCTTCGAAAACACCCAGATTATTCATGCCACTGCCAGCTGTGCAGCCAATATCGTTCTTTTCTACTGTGTTCCAGATCTGCAACAGAATAAAAATGGAGGAAACAGTGCATAGATTCAGCAAGGTTCAAGGTGAAAAACCATCTGAGCTTGGTGTCTCAAATCCAAGGAATTGCCTGCCTTACCTTACTTTGGGTAAGTTTGTATTTATTGTTTAGGACATAAACCCCTTTGTCCACAGCCACAAGACCAACTGTAGCATTTGCATCTCCTTCCACCTTGATTTTCATTTGAGTGCTTGGCTCCTTGATTTGATCGTCAGCCTCAGTTGCTCCTTTCACAATCAGCTGTTTG